CACCGTATTAGTATGGTGTTCTTAATAATCCTTTAGGTGAGTGTATACCAAACAAGAACTGAGAAATACAACAGAAAAATAATGAAAAACAGTACATATCTGAATTAGTCTGGTACCTGTATTTACTGAGCAGGCAGTTTTAAAGTTAGCTACCTCATTGTTTGCCTCCACAATAATAAATTACTAGTGATTAGAAAAATAGTTCATACATGTTACAGAAATTTACAGAAATGTCATTTATAAAAGTGTATTATTTTGATAAAGGTATAACTGAATTATTTATATGATTTACCTTCTTTCCTATACTGCTGATACATCTTTGCTCTCTGATCATGAGGTTAGCTGAAGAGGTATGTAGATTATCTACACTAACATTTTATTTATTCTTGTGTGTTAATTTCTTTCCTGTCATCATGGACATTTCCAGACAGTAAAGTTTTCACTTTGAAACATAAAAATGCCCTTTAATTAAAACTAGAGTTCAGTAAAACCTTTTTGTGTTGTTGGGAGACATGAGGACTTTAATCCCGTGATGGATGAGATCACCATGCACTGTCATCAATGGCAGGTTTAGTTCAACTGGATTTGGTCATGTAACCAATAACAGTGCATGGTAATTCCACTCATCACAGATTTACTTTTGAGATGCTAAATGAAATCTCAGAATGCATTATAATGATCTAGTGATGCTATTCTTCAGAGACGTTCATTCTTATCTTACTATCTTAAGTTATCAGAGCCTTTTTGCTGGGTCTTTGGGGGACTTCAGTGAACACTTGCTGTCATACACTTGGTTTGCCAAGTTTGTTTTCCTCCTGATTAAATTTGGATTTCATGGGTGGTGGAGTTCTGGTATTTTGTAGCTCTTTGGTCTGCCATGTTTGATGTTGTGTATGCAGGGAATGCTTTGGGGTTTGAAGACTGGAAGGCACTAGTCAACCATCAGAAATCAGAAACTTTATTGTCATTATACAAGGGTATAATGAAAATTGTGTACCATGTACTCACCTCTGGGACTTACCTTGGTTGGTTGCCTTATGGGTTGATGGTCTTTTTGATGTGTCAAAAAGATGAATATGGGAGTTTTGTCTGTCTGTATTCTCCCTGTGGAGCTTATTTTTGAGGTTTTTCATTAGTAGTTGTGAATTCATTTTGTTGTTTGATGGCTTTCTGCACATGGGAGTGGGACACCCTTTTGACAGGTCAAATAATGGTTATTTTGAACCAGTTTGAAGATAATTAGCTTATCTGCAGAGACAATGATAAATAGTCCTATAAATTTGGTTTGTCTTGTTTTGGATTAGTATGATTCTGCATGGTAATTTCATCCATCTAACTATTTAAACTGGTCAGGACTGTGGGGACATAATTCATATCCATTTGATGGATGTAAAGTTAAAGTCAATAAAATCCATCTCTGCTGGTCAGGGATTCAAACTAGCAATCTTTCAATTACAAGTGTGCTTCCCTAACCATTAGGCCACCACTGCCACCCAAAAATATATAAATAAATAAAAATAAAAAAATATGTGTGTGTGTGTGTGTGTGTGTAATGGTTGACTTCTGTGCACATGCATGCATTTTTCTAAAGTATGAAGTTGGGGGAAGAACTATTGCCCAACATGGGGCTCAAACCCACAACCCTGAGATTTAGAGTCTCATACTCTACTGACTGAGCTAGTCAGGCACTGGTTCCCTGTTCTGTAGTTCCATAGAGAAAGTACAGATACCAAGTAGTAGTTACTGTGCTTAGACAGGTCAGCCTTTTATATAAGCTACATTCAACATGTTAAAATAACTGACTGCTGTGCCTGCAGCTGTGTACTTACCGCTAAGTGCTTTGGAATTGGCTCCAAGCTTATACAGTAAAGTTTGTAGTGTGCTATCTGCTGAAGAACACCTTTCCTCCCCCACTCGCTCCACATAAGCCATACACCAATGACAATCAAAACGGCCCACAGGAAAGAAATTAAGTTCCTGAAAAGAGAGCTAGTCATTTACTCCAAGAAGTAATAGGTAGCACAAATAGCCATCGACATCCCATGGAAAGGGGCCGCATCTTTAAATCCCTGAATATTCAAATCGGTTTTCACTCTGCCCTCTTCTGACTGATAGTCTAGGACAACACTTCTCAAAATCCGGACTCCGGTCCGTATCCGGACCCGGAGGGAGTTCAATCCGGACCCGCCACCATTTCGTATTTCAACAGCAGTAATTTAAGGGATTAAAAGTCTGGATTTCCTACTTTGATAAACGCATATCAGAATCAATTGTTTAGTGTTTTATGTCTTTTTGGAGATGGTCCGAAATTAAAGCGAAGGCGAGATATTTAAAGTTTTCCTCCGTGATTCAGTTGCCATGACATCCAGTGAGTGTATATTCTTTTGACGTAATCGGGCGCGAGCCGCGCAACGCGACACTTCACCACAGTAAGCGTTTG